AGTTTTTTGCAAACAAAACTAACTCCGAGAGACCCGATACCGCAATTCTTTTTATTAAAAAACCTATAAATCATTGAATTCGAAACGATGTCACATGTTATGAAATTTTGTCATCTCTCACCACTCAATCGCGACACTTCTTTCCGCTTTTACTCTCTCGAACAATTCAAAATCATGAAGCCGAAAATTCGACGTGGTTTTTTTATCAATTTATGTTTTATACCCGATGAAAAATCGATAATGAATCATCCATTCTTCGACGATCCCAATCGCCGGAACGACGAGACATACAACGTGATGCGCGATAAGACAGTGAACAGTTCTATTATAAACAACAACGAAGATGCCAAGTAATACAATACAAATACAGAACCGACAACGATTTTATTGACAACCGCGGAGTAACACAGTGCTTATCAGACGCGACGCGCCGACTGTTTATTTATCATTTTTCTTGTAAACCCGACCATTCGAGGTGAACGCCTGTGTGTTATTACGCATGAGTTATGTATAAGAAGGAAAAGTTGTCGACATAGTTGTTGTTAGTTTATATTACAACAGCCAGACGTGATATATATTCATCCATATATTCGCTAATCTAAATTATACTTGTAAATTACTTGCAAATTACGACACATTATAATAAAATACTAGGAGCTATTAAAATACATACGCAATTTGTTTACTTCGTAAAATACAAATAAGATAGCAAGCTATCATTTATTCAATTTTCAGTATTATACATTTTACTCAAGTCAAATCTTGCGAATTAATTATTTAGGAGTATAACAACTTTTAAATAGAAAAATAAATATTATAAATTTCTATTTCTATTAATGAAATAAAAAAAAAATGTTATGTTAGCAATATAAAAATCAGTAATAGGTTTCAAAAATTTTAAATTAATAACTATACATTTCTAAAATGTGATTACATGTTTCGACATTAACTATTTTTTATTATTTCATATTATTTTTAATATCATATATCTAATCTAGCATTGAAGCATGTTATACATTTTGAATACACAAAGTGACATTAAAATATCTCACTATAGAAAACTGAATGATATTGCGTAAGAAGTTAGTTCAAAAGACTTGTCAGATATTTATTCTGAAGTTCTCGCTCAATATTGATTAGATCTCTACACCATTGTGTCTCGTTTACGCTACACGCAATTCATTCATAAAATCATTCGTCCGGCAAGGATGAATATATATATCATCAATAAATACGCGAAGTATTTGTTGAATGCCTAGCTAGTTGAGATCTAATTTTAGATATCCATGCAAAAAAGATCTCTAACCACTTAATGCATTCGTCGCTTGCATTAATGATAATATCTTTAGTCCTTTATTCTTGAGTGGATCGTTCCCGTAAACATTAAATAACATTTAAATGACAGTTAAATAACATTAAGTTAAAATTAATTAAATAAACCGATATTCAAAAATTGTTCTTCTTCCTTCTGATTCTTTAATAAATTTAATTTTTTTAACTAAAATATGGGAGCAGCCGCGTGTAAATTTTCCGAATATCTGTGCGGTTCATACAACTTACCCATTGATGATGGAAGCGGATTCATCGACATTAGGTGGGCCCGACACCTGGACTTTGGGCACGGTGTAACCGTCCAGATTCTGTCCATAACCACTCGCATGAGCTTGCTGATGGGCGGCAGTATAGTCATCGCTGTCGCTGCTCGGCGGTTGCTCCGACCCGACACCACCACGAGGTCTGAAATAAGACGAGCCACCGGATATTGACGAGTAGAAAAATGAGGACCCGCGACAGGAGGACTTGTTCCGCCGTGCTGAGAAATGCGGCCGCACGTGCCTCGCGTGATCCCGCTTTGAATTTCTGTTCCACGAAATTTGCACCATGTCGCCGAGAAAATACGTGGAGATATACCACGCGCGATATGCACTGAATATACGCGATACTGAATTGAAACGCGCCTTTCTCACCGATATTTAATCAGGCCGATTTAATTAATCCGCTCCCTCGCGGTTCACCGGCGGAGGTCGAGGTTTCAACAACTCGATTTTCCAAGCTTTGTGGAGCGAGCGATTTGCAGCGCGAGCGTGTGGGTTTTAAATCGCGCAATTAATGTTGCATTAGCCGCGTGATAAAACGCCAACAGATGCGTATTGATCCGAGAGATACGTAGCATCATCGATACATCTTGGTTAATTTTGATTATAACAATAATTTCTTTTTGAGAAAAAGTATTTTCATATGTTTTTATAGCGCTTTTTAAAGCATTTACAATAAAGTGACATAAAACAGATTGTAAAAATTAAACGATCATATATATATATATATATATATATATATATATATATCCTTGCTGTAATATAATTTTTATCGGAAATAATAATTAAATAAATAAAAAATTAAATAAACGGACGTTATTTCTTTCGCGTGAAATTTAAATATAATTTTCGCTATGCGAAAATTATAAAAACAAATAGTTTTATTAGGCGTATATTAAGATGCGTTGACGTCTGACCTTATTCTATTCTGAATTAGATCAGAAATACCGAGGCGTGACGACAGACGGCAAACGTCACGATCAGCTGTCACCAGAAGCGTGACGAATCTCATCGCGATCCTGATCGGGAAATTAACTGGATGAGTTAACCAAGCCGCGAGTTAATCGACTCTATCTCACACAGATAGAGACTACAATGCGTGTGTTTCATCGAGAATAGCATAGAAAGATACCTATCTTCCGTGAAACATGCTCTTTCCGCACGTTACTAGAGCAATTGCTGCTTGTAAATTAATTCCCTCGGCTTCTTTTAGCGATATCTAAGTCCTGCTCACAGAACATTTATGGCTATTCGTAAGATCTCAAATAAATCGCGAAAAAATAATTTAAAAGGTGAACATACGTGTTTTTAACATATTTTATGTATGTTGAAATAATGATTATATTACAAAATTTTTAAATATATTTAAATTTTAATTGGAAGAGTTTTTAATTTTTGCGATATTATTTTTGAGGAAACACAAATAAAATAAATGTTAATTAAAATTAAAGCCATGAAATTCAATTTACTGAAAATCACAGCAAATCTTTAAAAGAAGACATTGTTTCTGTAACAATTCTGTAGAAAATAATTAAACGTTACAATCGTCATTTATAACGTTTACATCATCTCGCGATTCCAATTTACATTTTAGTAAAACAGCATCCGCACTGATTTTCTTTCTGCTTTGCTTTGATTTTCGTTTCGGATCCTTACGTCACGTATTTTGGGGAGCACAAGATTGCGGAATCGATCGTCCTGAGCTCCTGCTGGCATTTCGCCAGTGCAGGCGCATTATCGCCGAAGTATATTTCCAGAATAACAATATGTATGCACACGATAATGAGCGAAATAGAGAAAAAAAGGCGAGGATATTCCGCGAATCCTCAGATTATTCCATCATGTTTCGCTCATATCCGTCACGTCGGACGAAAGTGTTCGTGACGGAATAAATGCGTTCTGTCGCAGTTGCCGAGACATTCGTCACGTCCGGAACAAAGTCCATCCGGGACAAAAGCTGGCCTTTTCACCCCGCATTTAGAAGCAAACGCAATGATTTCTCCGATTTCACACATCTCGCGCTCCCGCGTAACGCATTGTTCGCGCTAAACTCGAACTGTTTTTGCTTACTCTTCGTCGTAATAAATCACGAGGAGAGAGAGAGAGAGACATAGAGAAGCACTGGAAGTTCGTTTAATAGTTGCTAACTGTACTACATTGTGCAAATAATTTACATCGAACAGGATTATTTACGAGCTTCCTTTTATTCGCGATCGGTCTGGCATCTAAAGTGGAATTACATAGAAGCCATGCAAATGTGCATCTACGTTTATCAACTGAAATAATGGTAATATCGAGTAATACCTATTTACTCATTCATTTCTATTTCTCCGTTTTTTTATTGTAACACAAGCGACTATTACAAGGACGTGATCTCTGATCCGCGTAAATCCGCGATCTTTTAGCCCAATAAGGACCTCGCGTCGATAAATGAACGTTCGTATTGAACATTTAAAACCGCATGCATAATCACAAGCAATAATTGTTGAAATAACTACTTGAAAAAAATCGAGCAAAAGGCAAGGCAAGTAAAATATTTGCATATGTCGTCATGCGACATAGATAACTACAGATGACGTTCATGATAATTCTAGTCTAACAGCTCATTTTCTTTCAAAACCTCGCTGTTTTAAAAACCTAAGAGAATGCTAAGAGAGGATTTGATATTTTTCACTTAATAAAATCAATCTCTTTCTATATTTATAAAAAATAATGAGATCGCGCTGCTACAATAAATATTTCAATTATGCGAGGTATCCCACGAATTTCTCGCATTCCTTTTAGATATTAATTTGATTGAGAGGTAAATTAAGCTACGATTTATATCAACCGATGGAGGATCGTACGTCAAGTGATTATAATCATCCTTTGAATATCGCGTTTCAACGACCGGCTATGTCAATAGAAACGGGAATTTGTTTAACGTTGACACTTTCGGTTTACATGCGGCCTTCGGTCGCACCTGCGGTGAGTGCTATCGTAGCTGGCAGTCCAGTAGAGAGGCGCCACTGTCCCGCGTTATTGCTGCTCACGGCGGCGGACACATGCAAAGCCTCCTCCTGAGCTGGAAACTGGGTCTTGCCCCACGCGAAGCGCAGCTTCAATTATCCCAATTTTCCCGCATCCTCCTTCCGCTTCTCGCCTCGCCGACGTGTCGCAGCGGCGAGCGCGGGGACCGCGGCGGAATCTCAGTGCGCGAGGCCCAAGACGAGACACTCTCCCTTATCAGCTGATAGCACGTCTCCTCCGCGGTACTCCTCCGGAAGATTCCTCTCAGAACATCGACGACGGTCGATCGTTTCCGGTGCTCTCCCTCGAACTCCTCTTGCGTGCCTTTTCGACTCCTTCGCGCTATCCCGGAGAGACGTCACTCGAAGAATCCTGTTGTGGATGTTGAACGCTCCCCGAGGACGAGAAGATGCAACGACGATGACGACGATGACGCCGGCGGAAGACAACGATATTACGATACGTGGCGCGGCCGCCGTCGTCGCCTCGATATTCCGGACGTATCCCGACGACGAGAGGAGGAATACGGCAATGCGGCGCGAAGCGTGTCCGTGCTCGTGCTCTACTCTCCGCAGCAGCGGTCTCGGCAACGCTTTCGCGAATGTACGTGTGGTACGATACGATAAATGTGAGCACGCACACAAACAAGCGCGAGCGACAGGCTGGTACCGCCGCGTCTGCGCCGCGCGGCTCACCTATTGACCGAATATCATCGCGATAGCTATATAACCATGATAGTGATACACACACACACACA